TTTATTTTATTTTATTTTATTTTATTTTAAAAGGAGGACGACCTGGAGGTGTGTTGTGGGTGACAAAACTCTTTTATTTGATTTTATTTCATTTTATTTTATTTTATTTTATTTTATTTTATTTTATTTTATTTTATTTTATTTTAAAAGGAGGACGACCTGGAGGTGGGTTGTGGGTGACAAAACTCTTTTATTTTATTTTATTTTATTTTATTTTATTTTAAAAGGAGGACGACCTGGAGGTGTGTTGTGGGTGACAAAACTCTTTTATTTTATTTTATTTATTTTATTTTATTTTATTTTAAAAGTTTTACAGAAGTTTTATTTAAGGCAAACGGGCAGATGGGGTTTTGCCTCCCCCTCAACGGTCCCCAAAATTCAATAATTTCAATTTTTATAGCCCCAAATCTCCTGCCGGGTTTCTGGTTACCAATTCTGTCTTTGTTACCAGGGAATCTTCTTTCCCTGTTTCTTGTTTCTTATCAGCTTCTCCTGGCGTCTTCTTTCTTATCTGGTCTGGTCCTTCCTCTTATCAGATTGTGTCAGCCAAGGGTGTTTTGGGTGTTAGGGGCCTTCCTCCTGCTTTATGTCTTCCTTGAGGCAGGTCCTGCTGCAGTTGCTAGGGAAAATACTTTCTCCATAGATTAGCTAACATCTAGAGGTAACATAGTAGAATATAACTCTTGATGCCAATTTTTGCCCCCAAGAAGGCTCGGAAAGACTGCTCAGAGACAAAGTTTCAGTCTATAAGCAGGAGGTATTTATTTTCACGGCCGGGGAGCAGCCCAGGTCTCCCTGGACAAGCTGCTCCGTTCGAAACATGCACCATCGAACTTTTATACATTTTCTGCTAAGCAATTACATCACATATTATGAATATTCATTACATTGCAACATCTACTTTTAATATTCATAACAGGCGGAGTTGAGGTGGAGTTAGAGGCGTGGTCTTTAATTTGGGGAGAACTTTGGTGGTCGTTCCGGTGTTTCTTCATCATGAACCCCTTGTCCTTTTCATCATCATCCTCCTAAACTTCTGAACCTCACCTAATTTGGGTAGTTTCCTTATGCATTTGGCAGGGATTTTCAGTATTTGGCACAAGTACTTAATTTCTTAGCTCATCCCGCTTCTTATCTCTCTTTGTTTCCTCCCCATATGTCTCTTTTGGGTGTGCTAGCATTTTCTGTTCTTCTGTGTCAGAGTGTCCTGTATCCTAGAGAATTTATTACCTCTGCTTTCCTAATGCTGAATTCTGTGTGCCTTGCTGAAAGCTTGCATCTGTGCTTAACTCTTTATATTGCTTAAATTCACTTTTCAGGGGTTACCTGGCTTCATTATGAATTTAACTCTTTACTTTTCATACAGTTATATTTCTTGTCTGGCTTCAATACTTTCTCCATAGATAACTAAAATCTAGAGGCAACACAGCAGAATACAACTCTTCACGACAACACAACATCACAGTTCGCAATCACAGTGTTACAAATATAATTTGATGAGTGAATCATCTCTTTTTGTGTCTTTATTTGACCATCACAAGGTGGCCCCGGACTTCTTCGAGTACTTCGAGGCGGCGCTGCCGCTGCTGCGCGACGACGCGACGCTCTGGTGCGTCTCGGCCTGGAACGACAACGGCCGCGAGCAGATGGTGGACGTCACCCAAGCCGAGCTCCTTTATCGCACCGATTTCTTCCCCGGGTTGGGTTGGTTGTTGTTGGCAGAACTCTGGGACGAACTGGAGCCCAAGTGGCCTCGGGCCTTCTGGGACGACTGGATGAGGCAACCGGAGCAGCGCCGGGGCCGCTCGTGCGTCCGGCCCGAGGTGTCCCGAACCATGACCTTCGGCAGGAAGGGCGTGAGCCACGGCCAGTTCTTCGACCAGTACCTGAAGTTCATCAAACTCAACGACCGCTTCGTGCCTTTCACCCGGCTGGACCTGTCCTACCTCAAGAAGGACGAGTACGAGCGCTCCTTCCTGCCCAGGGTCTACTCGGCGCCCGAGGTCAGGGTGGAGGAGCTGCAGGGCAACAGGAGGAGGGAGCTGGGGGCCGTCAGGCTCCAGTACAGCGGCCGAGACGCCTTCAAAGCCTTCGCCAAGGCCTTGGGGCTCATGGACGACCTCAAGTCCGGCGTCCCCCGCGCCGGCTACCGCGGCATCGTCAGCTTCGTGTACCGCGGCCGACGCGTTTACCTGGCGCCGCCCCGGGACTGGACGGGCTACGACCCCACCTGGAGTTAGCACCTGCTCCCTCAAAGCACTTTGGGGGGGTTCTCCCCCTCTTTTAGGGGTTTGGGGTGGTTTCGGTGCCCCCCCGGGGCCGAGCGAGGCCCCCAAAGGTGGTTTTGCAGAATAAAAGGTCGAAAAACGGAAATTCCGACTCAGAATTCCCGCCCGTGGCTCCTGCTGGGAGTTGGCACCTGCTCCTGGCAAAGTTTTTGGGGGGTTACCCTCAGTATTTTAGGGGTTTTGGTGCCCTGGTCAAGCGTCGCTCGGTTTCTGCCGCTCGCGGTGCTGAAAGGTTATTTTGCAGAATAAAAGGTCAAAAATGGAGAT